TATAACAGTTGTTTCGGTATCCGAGTAGAATCCATACGGCTCACATGACCGAGCCATCTCAGGTGTCGCAGTAAAAGTATGCCGTCCACTGCATACATCCCACTTCGGCGCAACACTTCCGTGTCTGCGACTCTGGCGCCCCAACCGATGCGCAAAATTCGTCGCAGACACTGCTGATGGAACCGCTCGAGATATCGTACATCCCGACGGTACATCGTCCACGTTTCACTGCCGTATTGAAGAACGGACAGTATCATGGATTTGTACACCATCAGCTTTGTGCCAATGCTAAGCTGATGGCTGTTCCACACTCGGTACTCAAGCTTCCCGAATGCCGCCGCTGCCTTCGACACGCGAATACGCAACTCAACGTGTAGCTGCTGGTCAGTCGACATCACACTCCCAAGGTAGCTGAAGCGGGAGGTGGTTTCCAATACTTCAGCACCAATGCTGATTTGCGGCAATATTGAAGATTGCACCTCCGGTGAAGGCTGAAAGAGACAGACAGTTTTGCTTGTGTTGATGGTGAGCCCGAATTTGGCAGCTGTCGAAGCCAGAGCACTAGTCATGTGCTGCAACTCATCCGCGCTGTGTGAAAACAACGCACAGTCGTCAACAAACAGCAACATACGGATAGTTTTCTCACAGACTAGAGTTCTCGCACCGAAACGATGGATGTTCAGCAACCCACCATCAATACGGTGCTCCACACGAACACCGTAAGCACAAGCCGCATCAAAAGCACAAGACAACATTGCATGAAGATATATATTAAACAGGGCAGGAGCTAAGACACAGCCTTGCTTCACACCAGAAACAACTACAAAGTCATCCGAGGTCTCTCCACTCAGCTGCACCCTCGCTCGCATACCACTGTGCAGACATCCAATTAAACTTACAAACTTACGCGGGCAACCAAACTTACCCAACACCAGCCACAATGCCTCGCGGTTCACCGTATCAAATGCTTTGGTGAAATCAACAAAAAGCGAGTACAATGGCTGGTATCGTTCTCTGCACTTCTCTTGCAACTGACGAGCCGCAAACACCATATCTATAGTGCTGCGACCCGAACGGAATCCACACTGCTCTTCCGCCACGTTTGGTTCCACAATCTGACTCACGAGGCGATTGAGCAGGATTCGGGCAATCACCTTGCCCACACAACTCAGCAAGTTGATGCCACGATAATTCGTGCAACATTGCTTGCTATCTTTGCCCTTGTACAGTGGTAGCACAAGGGCATCCTTCAGCTCAGCAGGCACCTCCTCCTCAATCCACACGCGTTGCACCAAGCGGTGCAGCGCAGTCAACAACGCGGGTCCACCGTGTTTCAATACTTCCGGCGGGATCCCGTCGGCTCCGGCACATTTGCTGTTTCGCAGCTGAGCAAGTGCTCTCTACGTCTCATCCATTGTCGGCGTATCCGCCAGATCCGCCTTCATATCGTGCTGCTTCAGGCCGTTCAATGTAGGCCAGTCGATCACTGAACGGTTGTTCAAGAGACAGTCAAAGTGTTTCCGCCAGACCTGCATTATGTCTGTAGTCTGGGTGCAGGTAGCGCCTGAACTACCATCGATCAGTGTCCTCAGCGGCTCCAATCTCGGTCCATACAGCGCCTTCAAGGAGTCAAAGAATATATATATATATATATATATATATATATATATAGCGAGAGAGAGATGTGGCCATTAGGGAGGTACACAAATGAGTTCTAAAACAGTGCCCCTCAAAAATGGGTCTGTTCAGCTACGAAGCGTGTCATTTAGTTGCATGGAGAAGCATATCAAGAGCCGAATTTATGAAGACTTGATTGGTCATAATTGGAACAAGGGTAAAGCAGTCTTACCAAACGAAAAACAAGTTAAGGTAGTAGCCTGCCATCTGGAATTCGGTACAGCTCTAGACTTCAAAAATCAGCGATTCCTAATCAGGCAGCTGGTCTGTTGACCGGGCCAGCTTGTGGCATCGTCTGCTCATGAAGAGCGTGCGGGAAAAATTCCTTTTCATGATGCAATCTCTCTACCGTGACTCTTGAGGTAGTGTAAGGGTATATGGGAAACTGTCTCCTGAATCCCCCCCCCGACAAGTGGGGGTATGTCCTATGTCTCCATTTCTTTTCGACTCTGTGATCGGAATGATCATGAGTGACTTCGTACTTTCAGGCCCTACCGGAGTGGAAATTCCGTCAAGCGAGCGACTGACAAACCTGGAGTACGCGGAAGACACAGCCTATCCTAGGTCTGACGCATTGGTGATGCCAACACTGCTGGATAGACTGACGCGTAGCGCTGCACTCTTCGGCACGTGTTTTGCACCTTTAAAGTGGAAAGCACTGCTGCAGGACTGGATCGACACACCTCCAGTTCAAGGTGTCACCGAACAGCCAGTGGAAGTGGTGTATCGGTTCAGTTATCTTGGCATGAGTGTCACCTATGGTAATCATATCACTCAGAAAATTACCTCGCATATCAGCAAAGCCAGTGAAGTTATCCAGAGGCTCAACCAACTATGCAGACGCCGGGATCTCAGTCTGACAATGAAAAGTAGGGTTATAACGCTGCGGTAAGACCGGTCTTACTGTAGTGATCAGAGACCTGACCAGTTCGCGGCGATGACATTAAACGCTTGGCCGTTTTTGACCAAAGTGCTTGAGAAGTATTGCTCACGTCTGGTGGGGACACCGGATGAGCAGTGCTGAGGTCCGCTAGTTGGTTTTTGATAAGAGGTCTTCTGGTTCCTCATGCGAGTATTTGCTGCAGCTTAGTTTGTTACGTTGGTTAGGCAATGTCCTCCGTATGCCCGTTGACTGGCTTTCTCGACGTGAATTATTCGCCGTGGTTGCACCGAATTGGGCGAAATCGCGAGATGTCCAATCGGTGACGTGGCATAGAGGCACGAAGAAATTGACTGGGAGATTTGGCTAGGCTGTGCATGCCGTCTTCGTGGATAGGGGTGTCGGGATGGTCTATGTCAGTGTTTGGAGACTCTATCGGATGTGACGATCTCGCAGTCAGTGCCGTTCCTGCATCCGGTTTACTGCATCTGTTTGTTAATTTTCCTTCCATTCCGATTAATTTAATAGCCTTCCTTCTTGCTTCCATTTTCCTTACATTCTATATGCATTCAAACCCACTATCTTGATGTTGTTATTGAGCGTTGTTTTTGCGATGTGATAACTGGCAACTAGATCCACCGCACCGCGGTGCACAGATGATAGTTATTCAACGGAAACGAACTGAGCTGATTTGGTTTCAGTTACATCAACTACCGAATTACCAGAAGTTCCATGTGGGAGGGATTTCAGTGTTACATTCGTTGAAGTCATCAAGTATATGCAATGCTCACACTGGTGTTCCTAAGAGTTCTGTCTTATGACCTTTTCTACTTGTGTGCTTGTTTGAACTGGCTCCCTTTCTTATTACACCTTTGGAGATGACACGAAGATGGTCAAAAAGATCAACTGAGCAACATTGTCTGAAGACGGGAGTATTGTGGCAGTTAAGAGAACTTGTCTTTCAATGCTAACTACCAACTGTTAACTTCCAATAGCAACGGGTTATAAACTTCTGCAGTCCCATACATGCGGAACAACGATTCAGCATTGGACCTAAGTGAATTCGTGCGCAGTAGGTTTAATCCCTCGGCATGTTGCTAACATGGTGCGACAGAAGCCTCAAGAGAACATTGCAGTAAAAAATCGAAGATGTTCCTTTTCTTATAAAACGCTCTGTTCTGACAACATAGAACACTGCACAAGCTTGTACGAAGTATTCCTAAAAAGCAGGGTAGAAAAACTGCTCACTAAAATGATGGAGGGAAATATTTTTGTTCGTCGCAATCAGCCGACAATTCAGATATGTCGACCAGCTATCCGAAAAAGCACCAGACGGCCGTTTCTCCCTATTGGGGCTTATCAGTGGTGCGTATCTTTCGGTCCTCTGCGGAGGATCGAACCCATGAATGCTAGTGGCTCTTGCCAACTAGCCCGCAGCTTATGCAACTGCGCCATGGAGGACGGTATCCGACCATCACGAATTGTTAGCTAAATGCGATATAGCCCGACCCATCCTCCACTGCCATGCAGATGACAGCGGTTGGCCTTCCGGCGTCAGGACTTGGAAAGTCATATAGAAACCGACTTTAGTTTAGGGTTGTATTCACTGAGATGGTAGAGACTGAGGAAAACGCGATAGAAACATTCAAGAAGAACCCAGCGGCAATAAACTTGTCGGTCTCTCTGAACTAGCCACATCACAACACCTGTGTAATCTCGAAACCCAGCTCAAGCGGTAAACGTCCAACCTGGATGCTGCGGTGAAATATTTTGCCGATAATCTAGTACGGAACTAGAGCAAGCTTCCTTTCTCTTGGTGGGAAGGGATAAGGTTAAAGCCTCCAAAAGGTGCTTAGTAGATACTCCCCGCATGTTCCCTGTCGTATTAGTGGGCGTTCCAATACGTGGTTCGCAACTGAGGGTGATATACTAGCATTCCCCACGTATTATACATAGATTATTCAAGATTGCCCATTTGACTGGAGGACGATCAATTGGACTTCAAAGTGTTGTGCATTTTACCTTTTATCTGCACAAATTATAAGGTGATTGTTGGGCAGAGGACTTTATCATAGCAGTAAGTTCAACCAGACCTGAGCATAGACCTTATAACACAAGGAGATTTAAACAGGTGAATATTTGGTACATAATTAGAACATTGTAATTATGGAAACGAAAGGAGTCCGTTATTACGCAAATGCAATACACGGGTTATATACAACCAGTATGAAGAGACACGAATCGGTTCGGTATCAAAACATTGGGAAATCAGGCGGACAGTACGTAACGCCTGGCGTGCGTCGGAGTACAATCCGTAGACACAAGGTCTGTGATATAAACAAAAGAACTTCGGCAGAGTCAAAGATGCGGACAATGACTCAAGGTCTTACGCAAGTGGAACACCAATGCGACATTGCGTGCACCGTGGAAGGTTAAGCCTTACCTCAGAGGCCGCATTTTCCGTCTTCCCCGTTGTGAGCTCTGTCGGTGATGGCGCCAAACGAAGGTTGGTGGATGAAGATGACTTGATATTCGGAAGAGAGAAAGTTTTCCCGAGTGGTAAACAAGTCGACTCTGCATTCAGTGGTTTTAGGCGCCCTAAATCATAAGCCACAGCGATCTAAATCAATACAAAGTTACAGTGTATAGAATTACTTGACGTATTTCGCAAGCGTCACGAATAGCAGCAGCAAAATTGGCAGTAGATGCGGCTTCTTTTCTCTTCAGCAACTCGATCTTTTCTTTGAAATTTCGCGGATTCAGAGTGCTCAATTGTTTGGTAGCCATTGTTCAAAGAGGTGAAAATGCCGCTCATGTGACGTATGCAGTATAATAGCTTATCTTGCTGTGATATTTTAGTATACGTGCGGTCAAGGATTCCGAGGACTTCCTTGTCCAGCGTGCACGGTCATAAGAGACCTGGGGAGCTGCAATGGAAAGCAAATACCTCGTAGGTGGCTGGATGCCCATATCACAACCACTCAGTAAGAGACCACAGTAAACCAAACGCGAAGGCAAAGAAAAGTGGAAGAATCACCGGCCGTCTACTCGAGGTACAACGATCTCTTTATCTTAGGGATCACCACAAGGTTACCCTCGGACCTGCCACATTATCTCCTCTGTTGACTGGCGCTGTCCTCAGAGCCTACATGGCCTTAGTCGGACTCGAGCTGCTGATGTGAAGAACAATTGATAAGTGCAGTGTGCCCGGTTTGAGAAATTCACCGACAAGCAGGGTGGTCACAGAAAAGTCAGTGATAGCCTCAGTGGCAACGATCCAGCTTCAGGAATTGCTGTGGATAGCAGGCAGGATCACTGAACATGTGACATGCGTCTAATTGACGATCTGTTGGTGTGCGGAACAAGTGATGAGCGCAGTGCTAGATTCGAAAGATTCCGCTACAAGCAGTGTAGTCACAGGAAAGTTAACGACCTCTGCAAACGGTAACCATCCAGCTACAGGCACTGCTATCGCGAACTGGAAGGTTTCCAAATATGTAGTATGCGTGCGGTCGAGGATTCTGAGGACTTATGTGTGCAGCAGGTACGTAGGTCGTAATAGACCTGGGGAGCTGAAATGGAAAGTAAACACCTCGCAGGTGGCAGGAAGTGCATATCACAACCAAACAGCAAAAGACCACAGTAAACCAAAGGTAAAGGTAAGTTTATTGGTGGTAAACAACAGAAGGAAGAATCCTGTGTTAACTTCTTCGTTTCATATTCAGAGCAGAGACTGCGTGGATCACTGCGATACGCCGTTCATAGGTGACCGACATGATCGCAGCGAAAACAACACGATCACTGCTTGATCAGCAGATAAGAATTCAACAATCATTTGAAACCTTCCGCACTCTGTGCGCTGACGACTGGCTCTGGTAAAATGTTCCAGTCCATCACCACACGAATGGACTAGGTAACATCGGAATAGACTCGGAACATCCTACGCTTAAACCGTTTCCAGCAGTGACCTCGTGTCGAACTATCAACTCTGCGTTGAAAGAACTCCTGTAGTTCATTTCCCATCATCCATCGCAGAATTCGTTTGATGTAAAGCAGATTGCCACGACAACGACGGTAATCCAAGGAAAACATGTTCACCTTCCGAAGTCGCTGGTCGGAAGACAAATTCCGGATAGCTGAGATCGATTTCGATCTACGCCGTTGGACCCTCTCTGTGAGAACACGTTCGGTCTTTGTCAGAGGATAAAACGCAGGTGAACCATATTCGAGAATAAAGCGCACATGGGAAGTAAAAAGGAGTCTGAAGATCTCAGGAGTCATCCGGGAAAAAGATCTCCTTATGGCACAGAACATCCTAGTAGCAGCTGCTACCCTCCTCAAAGTGTCCTGGATGGTGCGCAAAGCAGGAGACACATGTATACCAAGGTCATTCACACAAGCAGCGTGCTTTAGCAAGAAGTCACCATTGTGATAAGCACCAAACGGGTACGGCGCATCGATAGGAAGGACTGAATATTTTTCGTATTTGATAGGCAATCGCCACTCCAGTGACTAGCTGTGTAGCCGGCCAAGAGTCACTTGCAATCGGTCAGCGTCCTCGAGCTCCAAAATTTCTAGTCATAACTTTAAGTCGTCAGCATATTGTAAGCAATCCGCACGGAGCTCCGATGGTAGGTCGTTAACGAGGATGGAGGCTTGCGGAACTCCACTGGTCATGAGCACGGTCTCGGGGTAGGTTTCATGCACCTTCACTCGCATTCAACGGCCCATCGCAATGATGCTGGACCTTACGGTGCGATGGTTTGCTGCCTGAGCGATCCATTGAAGTATGCTGAGTGGTGCTTTTTTGCATCTGCAGGGCCACTCATACTAGATTGGTCAATGGTTAGTGGGCAGACAAACTCAGCCGCCTGGTGCTCAAGGTTGGGAGTTGGAATGTGGCGGGCTCCTTATTTCTTATTTCTTGTAGTCCACTGCCAAATCCGCTGCCTTGCGGTCAGATTTTTGAACCAGAGATTTTGGTTGAGAAGCCTGATCATTCTCCAAGCCAGACCTGGGCAACCTGACAGTTTCCTACCTACGCAATACATTGAATTGCCATTCAAAATATTTCTTGATGCTCTGACCACCGCAGAGGATAAGGAACGGTACCCGAGCTGTTGCATCAAGCAGGGTGGATAGGGGTTTTGATGCTACTGCTCAAGCCTTCCCGTCTTCTTATTCCACCTCATACGCTTTTCACCCATATCGTCCCTTTCAACTTCACTGTTATCCCCCCGTTTTAAACCCCCAACTTCTTGGTCCTCCTCCACCATGCTTAGATAGGGGTTTATCTTCTAAGTTCAACTCACATACAAAAGCGGAGAGTCACTCTTGCTCTATCAACAAGCCCATGTCTAAACAAGCGGTCACGTCCAGTTTATCGGCTTCCATTTGAAGCTCTCGATCCTTCCATCAGATTGACATTCCTCATCGAACGCACAGATCGGTCAATAGGCAGCCCTTGCCCAAACATTAGACTCACCCGATCGATAGCTGCTGCCTATCGGAAGCCCGCCTACAAGACCAGAGCTATGTACTCACACTGCGATCCCCTTCAGGTGACACTAGCAGTGCTTGCTCATTGCGCCTATACGGAGAGGATGTAGCTTTTTGTACCGGCCAAGCCCGTGTTGGTATTATCCTGAGTCCCCGGACTGAAGCTGCTCTGGCTGATTGGATTCAAATCAGTAGCTGGATGTGTGCAGTCCGACTGTCTGGCTCGTTCAAAGCTTCAAAGTCGCGCGGGACTAATAGGTGTCCATTCATCATCGCTGCTTACGCGCCCCACCAACTTTAGCGATGATTCAGTACAAAACGACTTCTATCGCCAACTGACCGAACTCCTTCGCCATAGAAGAAGCAAGGGCACTGTAGTGCTGGCTGAGGATCTAAATGCACAAGTTGGAAAGTTGTCCACTGATAAACTGCATCTGGACGGCCAGCACGGTGTAGCCTCCCGAAATGATAACGGTGAGCGGTTACCTCGTTTGTGTGAAGATGCCCGCTTATCTCTAGCGACCTTCTGCGTGTCAAGTGATGTCTTGAGATGGTGCGAGACGATGAATCGTAGGTCCTCCTCACGTGTGACAGGCTTGAGGAGATATCCTCCAATATGACACGAACCGAAAGGATCCGGGCCAACAATAGGGAGAACGGCACATTTGTCACGGAGTCGCCACTCAACGGATCAGTTACGCACCTGGTTAATCGAAGCTTGGAGTCTGTCGGCATCCTCGGGGAAAGATATTTCAGACCACAGTTTGTCATCAGAGAGAGAGATAGTCGGCTTGAAGTGTCGCTGGAAAATTGTTGATGCAGAGTTCTGGTCCAAGGACGGAGCCTTGAGGAGGCCCAGTGGTCATAAGCGCAGGGACAGTGTTTGTTTCACCTTCATTTTAATGGTTCGTCCTCCCAGGAAGTCTGATATCTAGGACAAGAGGTTTCCGATGACCAACTCCCTGAATTTTGAGCAGAAGCCGTTTATGACACTGTCGAATACCCTGCTGAAGTCAATGAGGACGATATCAAGGTGTTTCCTCCTGTCCGTTGCTCTAACCCACGCTTCTCTGGCAGCAAACAGGTTAGTGATGCAGGATCGTGCCCTGCGGAATCCGTGCTGTGACGGGAAGGTTGCGCATAAATCTTCCCAGTGAGCGTTGAGAGCGCGCCTGATCATTCTTTCCATGACTTTGCAGACAAAAGACGTCAGACATATCGGCCGGTAGTTCGCAGAGTCCTGCCAGTCACCTTTGTATTTAGGCATTACTATTTCTACTTTCCAAGCGCTAGGTAAGCGGCCCTCTGCAAGTGAGAGCCGGAATACTTAGGACACTGGGTCGGTGATGTACTCGGCAATGTTGAGGTATAGCGGGTGTAGACAGTCAAGGCCAGGGGTGGAGTTAGGGTTCAACTCACGAATTAGTCGCATGACCATCTCGAGGTTAATTTCAGTTTCAGTGGGTGACCGCGGAGATTAAGTAACGTAGCGGGACTAAGTAGCCCTGACAAGTCCGGGTGGAATTTACCTGTCAAGATACGATAAGTGAGAATCAGGTCCCCTCTTATCCTACGGTAGTGCATTGCTTACATCCCCAAACTGAGCAAACGTTCAAAATACGTCTGTCCCCGTAGACCCTCCACTAGCCGAGTGCCCATTCGTACCACCCTCCCCAAGTCCATTTTGTGTCGGTTAAGATATGGTGGACAAGCCTGGATAAAATATTCCAGGAGGGGTCGGACGAATGCCGAGAATAGCTTCACAAACAAATTGGTCGTTAGCATTCCAGACGAGCGGCGGAAAAACCATATCATACGATGAGTGCACGACTCCTACATCAACCTGCTGAGTGACAACAGGGAGTTCACCACCGCTGCCGTCGCAACGAGACTGGATCTTAACGTGGTGCGACGGTTTGCGTACCTCATTGACCCACTGAGCTATACTGGGTGATGCCTCCGAGCATCTTGAGAACTACTCCTACCAGGTTGGTCAATGGTGAGAGGTCAGACAAACTCAGTCTCCTGGTCCCCCAGGTTGGGGGTTTGAAATGAAATGGCGTCCATTTCTGTAAAACTAAATCATGGCCACCTCCCCGCTGCCTTGCGGACAGGCTTTTGAGCCAAAGGCTTTGGATGAGGACCCTAATCATCCTCCTGTCTAGGTCTGGGCGCCTTGGCAGTATCTCAGCCCACATACAACCATGACATTTTCTTCAAACATAAACTTCATCCTGCATCGGCCGTCGCGCAGATTATCAAGGGTCGTCTTATCTGCTGCATACAGCAGGGCGGATAAGCGAAAACATGCTACTGCTGGCGCCTCCCTTCTTTCTTTTCCACCTTTTTCTCTTACTCCCATCCCGGCCCCCATTACTAACCTTCCTTCTATAATTCCCAGCTTAATTGACAGCAACCGAAGTGCTACTGGAGTAGTACCATCTGCAGCCACCATCCAACCACACTTATCGGACGCCTATCGGCAAAAGTCCCTTATAAGGCCACGCTATCCCGTTTCCATGGCGA